AGAGAGAGTTTTACTGCACTTTTAGTGTCATTAGAATAAGACTGAATTTTATGGCTGCCTAAACAGGAAACGGAAACAGGAACCACCCATAGTATTTGTGAGTTTTCACCAGATTCCGGGTAGATTAGGTTTATAATTAATGTCAGGATTAGAGTTATGTTTAAATTTAGGCTTATACGTTGTGGTGGTGGTGGTAAGGTGAAAGTTAGGCTTACGGTCGGGCTTCAAATGTAGGCTCGCGCCCACCTCTTTAGGCATAATGTAGAGCATAGGCTAAGATTAAGGCTACCGGTTAGCTTTATGCTAGGACTACTGTTGGGAATATGCTATATTTTAACAGCACATATACTGGCTAGAAGCCCAGAGCCGTGTTTTGCCGGTTTTCTGCCACTGCTTGAGACAGCTGCGTAGGGTCGGGCTCAGCAGTTGGCCATCAAGCCTTCCGTGTGTGCTTTTTGGGGTTAAACACGGCATTTTCTTACACTTTATCGCACGAGTATTTTTAAAACCGGCCAACGAAGCGTAGCAAGCCCAGAAGTTGCGCCCTACAGCTTCCGAATTTTATGAGATTGTCGAATATATTCCAGGTCAAACGCGCAGGAAGTAATTTGGGAACCATTAAGTGATTGAAACCGGAAACAGTATTTGACCCATATGCATGCAGCTGTGCTTTAATACTTTAAAACTCAACTCGCCGATGCGTCCATTTTCAAAATTAGATGGGGGTTTGACAAACAGAAGTAGACATTACGCGTCGCCGTCTATTATTTAATGCGCACATGACATGTGATAAGTTGCTCAAGCCAGAAAACACGTAGGTAAATATGAAACAGAGTCAATCTCTCTAAACAAACACCCGAATTGTTGAATTTTTTAACCAAACAATTTCCCCTCCTACCTAACAGCGTTAAAGCAGACCTAAATGCGGTTTGAGAATGGTTATTAACCAGTAGAACGCCCAGTTGCCACGTCTGAAGACGACCGGTTGATCTTGCGTCAAAAATTTACTCCGTAAAGTTCAATTTTCCCCAAATAAATATTTATCTTCATAAGAATATTAATGTGCACATGCATTGGAATCCTTTTCATGTCCATGGTGATTATGGAGCCACTACTCTTATTTTGTGAGCTCTGGAAACCTTAAAACACGTAAGAGTAAGGTGTAGTGTTTCAAGTTTCTTTGAAATAAATGCACTAACATGGACTAAATTCGTCTGGACTAACATTTTCAGGCTCCGTCGGAAGCTTCGTCTAAGGATTTGCTAGAGAAGGCTTTTATGCTCTGCTTCCCCCAAAAGAACATAAGACCAGTAACCGCCCTTAATACAAGTGGCTTTGCGGTAAATATCAGGGAACATTTGTTGGGGTAGACTACAGATGACCTTAGGTGGAGAAAGGTGAGTAAAAGTGAGCTTAATTATAAAGGTTTTGGTTATGATTAGTGTTCGGGTCTTTACACGGTAATTTTTATGCATTCAAGTATCAGGCGCAAATTGCTACACATAACCGGTGGGCGTTCTTCTATATGTGTTCTGTTGAGGCTCGAGGATATAAGTTTTTTGACCGAAAACAATAGATTACTTAAAGGATGAAATGTGAAGATCAAAATTTAAGGCGACGGTTCAACACACATTCAAATTTGTTTATTTTATCGGCAAAAGTACTTTAAATATTGCACTTCATATACCCCCTAGTTACAGCATTTTGTCGTACAAAACGGTGGTTATAGGGGTTTTGGGATGAGGAAATAGTATAGGCAGTGAAGAAAATTTGTAGAAGTGAAAAGAGGAGAATGTAGTTGCATTTTTTCCCATGGCCACTGGGAGTAAGGTGTTCCGCGTGTAAGTTGAAGGTATGCGCGGTGCTTCGCACCGCGAATTATACTAACCTTACTCCAGAATGGTATGCTGCACCTCAGGTAAGTTGAAGTAGACGGCCTCCTAACCACCGTTTCTATTTTTCAGGAATTACGAGAAACCTGCATTTTGATACTCGAGTTTTTCCGCAATAAGTCAGACGATAATACAGATTAGGAAGATCTACAGATAGAAATCAACAATCTTTCTAAATACAATAAAATATAAATGCATATTGCACTTACTAAAGTATATTTAACTGCGGTTCCTTATTCCCCACCCATAACACTCCTAGAACTACCGTTTCTGTAGGACAAAATGCTGGAGATAAGGGT